ATCCGATCGGGAAACTGGGGGGGGGGGAATACTGATCTGATAGCCACCAAAATGCAAAACCATTATTTAGACCGGCTATGTGTTCGGTACTGAGCTCCGAGAGAAACATTCCTGCGATATCTGATTGGTTGACTTGCGCGACGCCCAGTTCTTTGGTGAAAACCAAGCGCCAGGTTCGCAAAATATCTCGCGTATGTTGCCGGGACATAGCTTCGAGCTGGACTGTTTCGGCTAGAAACCTTGTCTTTTAAACCAATGTCCTTAAAAGTTTCTTCTAGCTACGCGCATCGCTAGCTGCGGTAAGCCTATAAGATACAATAAGCTAACCATAAACTTGACTGCTTAGAGGGAACAATAAGGAAATTTTGTCAAATTGATCTCCTGGATTTATGATAATTTGTTTTAGATCGAAAGAGTATGCACACAGGAGCAGAAACTTATACTTTATTAAACCAAGCCAGCAGAACTACACCAAACCTCAATATTTCTAACTTATAAACACTATTTCATTACCTAAAATTAGCCATTGTTTAGTTCTGACAATACAGAATATCTTTCAGTTTTCTTTATTATTTTTATTATTACTGCTATTTTTTATTTTTAATGAATGTCAGCTTATGGCAACATGCATAGCTTCGACTATATTGTCTGACAATAACTCAGAACAAGCCCACGAAATTCCTCGTGGTAAGGAGTGCGCAAGATTGCGCCTGTCATAGCAAGAGCCTTAAGCACCATACAGGTGACAGTACGACTTCGCTCAATTCCGCCCCCCCCCCAATTTTGAGGGAGAGAACCTCTTGGGGGGGGCGTAGTTCTCCCATCTCTCTTCCCCTACCACAACCTCACGAGAGGACTTTCGGCTCGCCACATATTTAGAGTGACCCCTCAGGCCGCACGGACACTATACATTTATAAACATCCATACCTTCACAGGGATTCGAACCCGGGCCCTTCGGTACCGCAGTAGGTTCCGTCTGGGCGGCTATTGACGAGTAACATAGCGGAAAGCCTTATCAAGATATTCAATGAATGATTAGCCAATAAAATCCTCGTATATACTATTCAGGAAATGATATCAGTTCTGAAGCCAGTGTCATAACACTGAATTCATTTAAGCGCATGTTTTTCAAACTGAATTATGGAAGGGTAGTTTTAGAAAAGGAGGAAGTTCAAGCTACGCCTTCAGACAGCGGCAAATTTTCTCAGAGGAAAGGGAGGTACTAATTGAAAGACGAGTACTCTAATCTAAAATTAGATCTTATAGCCATCCCCTCCAAAAAATAATAATAATAATAAAGCCTGCAGGTTGGGTAAATTTCGAATAAAGCTAAGATTTCAGAATTTTGAACGTATTGAGAAAAACCGCTTTCAGAATTCTAATAGCTTAGTTTTTTTCAAATTTCATTATTATTTTCCTCGTCAAATGGCGTTACGTTGTTTTTCGCTTTCTTACACTCATTTCATTATAAAAAAAAGTGGTTAGTGCTATAAGGTATATCTCCCGCTTTCCTAGCGCTTTTCTAGTGGTTCTGCACGCTGGGCCTGGTATTCCATAGGTCCGTGGTTCGATTTCCGGCGAAAGCGGTTGCTAATTTGTCATCTTGCCTACTTCCAACAAAATACCTAATGTCTCTACGGTGCTTTTTTCAACTTCGCAAAAAACTTTTGCTCCAGAAGAAGGACCTACGTTTGATTGCCTCGAAATCGATGGAGTCAGTTTTATTCCAAATCTATGCCAGTAGTTTTATACCAAATCTATGCCAGTCTAAAATGCTTTCCCAGTTTTGGATGGAGGAACAATGGGTAACGGATGAATTCAACAAAAATTCTTACAGAAATTATGGCAATACCCCATCTCACACGGGGAAAAAAAGAGAGGATGCGAATAAGGAAGAAACCGTTTAGAAATGTTACTCCAGCAGTGTCACGCTTCATTAAAATAAAATAAACATTCTTACGAAATATTCATATAAATCAGTCGTATAAATATCAATAAGCCTTTTTCTAGAATTACTTCCTAGGGTGAGAAATGTTTCACAATTTCATAAATAATCATATTTTGCAAGTAAAATGAATGATAAAAAGTGTGTCAAAAAGTTTATTGCCTTTCTTACACATAAATAAATATGTTCACTTTTACAAATATCACAAAATATGGATCTGTCAACTCATTCGACAATAAAGATAAATGAAATGCAATGTAAATCCTTAATACATATGAAACACTATTTACAGGAATCCAGTCTTCAAAATTTAATGCAAAGTTATTTGTTTATATTTCCTAAAAGTAATTAATTTATAATTACTAATGCCCCAATTATAATGCTTAGAGAAAAAACAAAGTTAAAAATTTTTAAATAATAATAATTATTATTAAATGCATTTTCAGCCAGTAGTGTTTGCCCACAAATAATGTAACTTAAAACAAGATACGAATCAAATGTTAAACAGCATTCACTCGATATCAAAACAATGATTTATAGCAAATAAGTTTTAAAAATTCAACATTTTTATACTTTTTTAATTAAAAAATTAATATTAAATATTTAGGAAAATTGAAAAATACGTTTTGTTTGTAATATCTTATTCATGGTATAATGAAATTATTTTTTCAAAAAATTAGTATCCTTACCATTTTAATTTGAAGCTTAATTAATATATTACGACCCATTCGCAATATGCTAGTTGCCTTTCATGATTATTTTATTTAGAACACTAATTATTAATTTCACAGCATTTTTCATTTTATGCTTTAATAAATTTAAATTTTCTTTATTTAATAATTATAACTTAGTTTTTTTTTTAAATTCAGGCTTTTCAAATAGACGCACTGCGATTTTTCAGTAAAATTCTCACGGCAATGTTATTTTATTTTCTCATTACTAGAAAAATGAGAAATAAACAAAGTCTTTATTAGCCCGAAAGAGCGCTAGCTTAGAAGAGCTATTAATTTCGTTTTGTCAATTGGCGTCGATTTACTGTAAATGACTGTATCACTTTTCAAACTATTGCCACCAAATTTTATTGCCCTGTGTTTTATTTTTGAATTTCTTGGTTTTCTTGAAATTTTTAAATAATATCAAATAATGAATTCTTTTTTCTCCTCAAGATGGAATAAAAATACCAGCTTGCATGAAAATGTTAAAACAGTTTAGACAAATGTTTGTCAATAAATAATATTACAATAGTTTGAAAAATGATTTTTGGTGAAAATCAAATGTTAAACTACGTTGAGAAAGCAAATAAAATAAATACATAAAAGTAAAAAAAAATAAATGTCAAATACAAAGGAGAAAGTTAGAATAACTGTAATTTTGGTATTAAAGTATCCATGTAATATAACTTCTTATGTAAAATGCAGTTAAGAATATTAAATTTAATATAGGAAATTTCTTTCGTAACAATCTTGTTTACGATGGCAGATGCAACGTTGCTGCTGATGAAAATAATGCTGCAACGAAAGACTATATCTCTAACATGTATTGCAAATCAATGTTTTTTAAGTGAGCATACTCAAGTTCTATTTCACGATAAAGTATTTTCCCGTCGACCATAGAAAAGATCGCTCTTTAGTTAGTTAGATAATCAACAGGTACAGGTGACGTATATACCATATAAAAGAATTAAATAATTAAAGAGGTCAAACCTTGAGAAGAAAATATCTGGTAAACAAATCATTAAAATCTACACCAATCATTTCAAACCACGTTCCTTTTCAAGCCAGGAATTGTATGCCAGGACCCTTATTTTTAAAAATAATCCACTACATGCTGTTCAGTATAAGAAAAAGACCCAAATTTTAACCTTTTTCTTTTTTAGCTCAAAGGGGCAGTTTGCCCAGATGGGATATTAATTTCGTTTCGGCATTTTGCGTTGGTTTCCTATAAAAGTCTGAATCACTTTTCAAATTGTTGCCACCAAATAACAGAACATTATATTCAAAGAAATTAAATAATGAAGAATCTGCATGAATGTATGTATGTTTCTCGCATTGTGAGAAAACAACGGTACCTAGAATAATCAAATTTTGAATAGAAAGCCACACGAATATGGGCATCTGGAAGCCCAAAGTTGGAATTTTGGAATTTTTTTTATTATCTTGTGGCCTTGGCTACTAATGTTCAAAATTAATATATGATTAGGAACAGCATGAATTATAAACAAATAGCTAAGTTTATTGCTTTTTATTTTCCAGCTATCGAAATGCCACGCTACTAGAACAGCAACGTTTTGAAACCAAAACCTAGCAATCATGAATCAGAACTAGTTGCCATTCAGCATAAAGAAATTTAAATATAAATATGAACTTCTTATTGCCATTCAGCATAAAAGAAATAAAAATATGAATATTAACAAAATATTAAAGTTAATTTTATAAAATAATTAAACACATGAACAAATATATGAAATAAAAAATAATTATTTCTCATGCAATAACTGGGCCACTACAATCTATTTCATATTTTGTAAAACTTTAACGAATTTTTGATTAACAAACTTAACGATTTCAAAGCGTTCCATTAACATTAACATCGCGTGTATCTTCAAGCACGGATATTTTATGCGCGAGGTTTCTTTACGTTTCTTACTAGTATTATGTAGGTAGCAGTAACACAAAGACGTTTCAATGTCTAACGATATTTTGCGTCGAATGATTCTGAATTTCTGTATCACTTTTCAAATCCCGTTTTGAATCCACAATTGAAAAAACGCTCATTTGAGAGTAAAATAAATTGTTTCTCAAAATGCGAGTTTTGTATTTAGAGAAACTAAATTGGTTTATCGAGGACTAACCAGAGTTACACAAAAACAAGACGAAAATTTTATGAGTGTGCTGTGGCATCACGCTTATTCATTACTGGCGCTAAATTCCACTGTTTGGTGATACTTTTTGTTTGTCGAAAATGGTCGACGGGAAAAGTACATAAATATGAGATAACACAGTAACCAAAAATAATACTAAAATGAAAGTTTTAATACCTGAAACATTGGTTTTCACTTTTAATGTACTTTCCGTAATTCAGCTGTGTTTTTTTACATTTATTTTCCCTGGATTTATTCCTTGAACAAATTTCATTCTTGCTATTTCACTTTAACCAATGTGAAAATAATTTCTTAGCTTAGTAAATATTGGAGGCCATATAACATTATTCGGGTGGGAGTGAATCTGTATCATAGAACAGACGATCCATTCTTTTTTTAAAAACTGTAGTTTTGTTATACTACTGTAATTCGTGCAATATGTCTATTTCAGTGTATAGACAGATTTTACAAGGTGCCAAGAAAATAGCGTTACATATTACAAAGTATATATTTGAATAACAGAAGACACAGTGTTAAGTCCGAAGTCCGATATTCGGAGATATATCAATGATATCTAAGCCTTCCGGAGTTTTGAAACCATCAATAAAATCTGGGAAATGTTCTTCATTATTCGCTACGAAAAGATAGAAAAACATCGATTTATATGATCATTCACTTCTGCGATTCGTTGCTGTAATCTTCTTGACACTTCTTCAGATCTTTCAATTGGAGTAAAAAGAGGTTCGAATTGCTTCACTAAATCCACCAATATTTCCCCTGCCTTGTTAGTTTGATGCAACCAGCGAATCCTTTCGACAGTTGAATGCCTAAATAAACAAGTTGTGTTGAGCATTTGTTTGTGAAAGGTGAGGAAGCGATTATCTTGCCCATAGAGTAGCGAATAACTATCTAAGAGTCCACTTTCATTATCAATAAGCCATAAAGCTCCATTGGATTTGGAACGTACAAGATTGTGGATTGTTTCGTGAAGTATGGACGGCTTGCTTTCTTTATCTGCAGCATCTTGCATGCTAGCAACCCTGGAAAAAGAGAAGAATTTACTAAAAATTTGGCTTATGTATTAAAAAAATGCAGTAAAATGAAAATGAAAATTACGCTAATAAAATAGAAATATAAAATCTCAACAAAATCATAATTAAATTAAGAAGGACGTAAATATCCTTTCTAAAGCCCCGTCTTACCCTTAAAACCTCCCTCAAGAGAATCCGCTATAACCCTGCCGATTAAATTAAAATTTGGCCGGTTTCCCCAACTAAGATTGGCGACATTATTTGGCGAGATTTTAGAGTTCCTTTTTTTCCGTTCCTTATTTTCCGGGTGACATTTTTTCCTTATTTTCCGGGGACATTCTTTCCGTTTCCCTTTTTTCCGGGTGACATTTTTTCTGCACACCTTCTTCCAACGTGTCCCGTTCACATGGGGCAAGCATTAACTGCCTCGCCGAATTGTAGGTAGAACTTAATTGAATGTTCCTTACCTCTCGGGATCAGGGTAAATGGGGAGATTTCCCGCACTATACTGCGCGGTTCACTTAATTTTAGTTACTGCTCGCTGGACTGTCAGCGAAAACAATCGCGCTGATAGGATGTCTGGGGATGTGATAGCATCCCCCAAAAAATTAGATAGAACTGTACAAGATACGGAAATTATAGACAAATACAGACAAGGTTATCTGATCCTAGGTATTCCAGAAATATCGTTCAAATTGAAACTAAAGTTAAGACAAGTCATATCGGCTACAACGCGAAAAGGGACTAAATACTTTTTGAATGATTTTTTTAAAAAAAAATTTAAGCATTTTCATCTACTTTTATGAATATTATTAATGGTTTTGTGAGACAAAATAATTTTAAGCTGGAAAAAAGTTTTTTGGCTATTTTTTTTAATTTAAAATTTTTGAAGAAAAATTTTACAATTAAAATGTCTTTCTCTCCTACAATTTTCAATGTCTGTCTCCCCCCCCAGTTTTTTATGTATTTATTAGAGTGTTCTTAATAACTTCAAGGAATGATTTTGCAATAAATGAATTAGTTTCTGAGGAAAAAAAATACACTTTTATCTAAAATCTTTTTAAAACAAATATGATCTCAGTCACATTTTCATTTCAAATTATTTTTTCCAGTATTTTGAAAAACCCATCCTTGTTTCTATAAAGTATATAATTTTATATAAGCAGTAAAAATAATAAAAAATGTAGTCCACACGTGTATATGTTTTAGGACTTTAAGTAAAAGGATTTATTGAAAAAAGTTTCAAAAGTTTCTCAGTTTGCTTTTGCAGTTTAAAGATACAAAACTGCCTAAATAGACATTTCAAATCTTTAAAATAAATTTTAAAATAAATTAAATAAATTTAATAAATTTTTATTTCAAATAAATTTTTTAAAATAATTTTTATTCAAATCTTTAAAATTTTATTACTGAATTTCAATACACACATATGTATATAAATCAAACCTAGTGCTATTTATTCAATTGGTAAATATAAACATAAATTACAAACCTTTTTTCAAAACTTTATGTGGCCAGAAAAATTGCAAAAACTCATAAAACGCAAGCAGAATTTTCCTTTACCTGTTTTTGTTTTGTAAAACACGTTTCAAAACAATTTAAATACATTAATTAATTATAATATTGTTGCGTGCGTACGGATTTGTAATAGATTGATAATAGTTCGTAAATGATTGTCATTGCACTCAAATCCGATGATAGCTTAATTAAATTTATTTTATCAATATAAACACTTCAAAGTTCTGGAATTTTCCACAGAAATACTCATACAAGTGTTTAGAATATCACTAAGTATAATCAGTAGTTATGCTTCAATCTAATAAGAACGTTAAACACAACGGAATGCAAAACCCATCTTAAGAGAAAGTTAACTCAGAAATATTTCCAATCTCACGCTGAACTAACAACTGGTAACAATAACAACTTATATAGCATAAATAATGTCATAAAAATAGTGTGGTATAATGAGATTATTTCTTTGAAACCGATGTTTCGAATTGATGCCCAAGAAGAACCAATATTTCATATTCTACTTCATTGCATATCTTTCAAAAAAGTAAAAAAATCATCCAATTAATTTCCTTTATCATTTTTTTTAAATGCGTAAGGTTTGTTTAAATATGAAATAATCATAAATAATAAATATGAAATAAGGTTTGTTTAAATATGAAATATCTTATAAAGGTTCGTTTTATAAGCTGTGAAAATGTCGGAAGTTTGTAACCTATATATTTTTAGATATGAAATTTTAAAATTAATGGGAGTCAAAAAGTCTAGAAATTTGAACGATTTTCAAAAATTCTCCCAAAATATTTTTAAAAAAAATTACGCTAAAAATTTCATTTAATTTTTTTTTCTTCCACGGTGTGTTATGGTGCAAACTATTCTGAGATTCTCAGTTTATTTGTTAATATTTGCAAAAAGTCGTTTCAACTTTAAATTTGAAAAAAATCTAATCCTCTAAAAATCAAAAGCGTGACACCACATCCACAAGCAGTGTATGTACAAAGTTTGAGTTCTATATCTTATCGGGAAGCAGTTTAAAAATCCATTACCATCTTTAACCATAGCGACAAGCACCAAGACTGAACTAAATAACAGCTTATAAAATAATAATAATAATATTAAAAAAGCATATATTTTCAGGAACCATTACGAAAGTTCAGGTACCAGTTGCGAAAGTACAAATTACAAAATTAACAACATTAAACCACGTTAAAAATGTGTAAACAGTATTAGAAATCTGCCAATTCGGAGACGTGATTGTTCACAGAGGCTTTAGGCGCAAAGGGGAAGGAAGACGGTGGTCTTCTGAACGGGTCCTAAAGACGAAACTCTTTCATGTCTCCTTTTTCTCCCCTTGCTAACGGCAGCTGTGCGAAGGAGCGTTGCATGTGAAGGGGGCTTAAATGGCCTTTATTAAATTATTCATTTGCAAAAAACTCTGGAATATGAGGTGCTTTCAAGTTCAAAATTCTCCAAATTATTTTTGAAAACGATATTCAACATAAAATTGCAATATAGTTACCATACATATCGTTATGAAATGCCCAGCTACGGTAGAGTAGCTTCCCCGCAAAGTGGGGTTAGGGTTGCCAGAAACGGGTAAGAAAAGGCAGGGTTGCCAGATTTGGTGCGAAATCGCCCGTTTGACGACAAAACTGGCGATATGCCATAGAAGGAGCGAGAACATTCTAGAGCGAATTCTTACTGGTTTTTCCGAGAATGTCCTCGAAGGCAGGCCAAAAGCTATATATACCCTGCCTGTACGCTGAGTAGAGAGTATCTTGAGTAGTAGGGGAAAGACTGAGTTCAATATTAGTGTCCATGGCAAAAACTGCTGCGGAAAATAGGTCGAAACCTTTTAATTTGCTAAGATCTAATTCTTTCAGCACGACGATGACGATACACGTTACAATCACCAATGAAGGAAGTGTCGCGATGATCTTTAAGTACCTATTTTAAAGTAACAGACTATAGTAATTATTGCAATATTTCAAAATTTTCAAAAACAAAACAATTGGTGCGATTCATCTTACTGCGAAATTCACTTCATTGTTGAGGACTAGAACAGAATCCCGAATATCTGGATGTAGTATGCTTGCAAGAATTACTGAATTCAAAATTTGTTTGCATCTATACATTTATTCAATAAAATTGAAATTGAGGATAATACAAATATTTCATCGAATTGTATTTAAAAATATCACGTCAAAATTAAATAACTTATTTGAAAAATATAGTGAATTTCATCTTTAAAGACAATCATTAATACTGCGAGGATATGATATGAAGTATTTAAACTAAAGATTTAAATAATTATTACAATTAAGTTACGTATAATTGCTATAATTATTCAATAATCAAGCAAAAAAAATGCGACTATAAATTTCTATCAAAGATCTTACCTATCGTAATTCCCAGTGACGTAATCAAAAATGATTAAATCACTCCATTGCAAAAGCTCCACAAGTTTTGCCACTGGTAATGTGAGAAGCTCAGCACAAGATGGAGATAGGATTTTCTTTTCAGCAAGAGATGATAACAATATATTTGGCATTCTGTCCCTAGAAGGTAAAGGATAAAATCTAAATATCTTTGCTTTTTTTTTTTTTTTTTTTTTACAGTAAAAATATACTTTTTAACTGCAGCTATGGAATATATTAATGTATTTTGCTGTATATAATCTAAAATTTGCAACAATACAGTTGTCTAAATGTCTAAGTAAATAATATTACTGTCTAAGCTTTTAAGAGCAGAAATATTTCCGAGCTTCTGAAGTGCATTATGCAATAAGCCTTTTTCTACGCAAATGGTTTGTAGCCTTAAAACAGCGGACAAATACGGATCCAGGAATCAGTACCCAGTGTTATAGCTCTCAGCGGTAATCCCGTTCTTCTGACAAACAGTGCTACCCCATAAAACGGTCGACTACTCACCAAAAGAAGACTAGAAGAGGACAAGTGCAACCGCTGTCAAGGCCCTCACCCGGCCTCATACCGAGGATGTTCACACCTTTCCAAGAACAAGATCACTAGAATCAGAAAGAACAGTTCTATTAAACTGGGCATGACTCACGCATAAATGAGCAGTAATCTGGCTCCAAAACCCATATACAGTTCCTTTGAATCGAGCCCCTAATTGTGCACCTTTCAGTCTGGTAAATGATAACTGTTCAACTAATAATAACACTATACGTAGTATAAAAAAAAGGGCAACATCAATCTTATTGGTAAATCTTTAAACATCTGAATTCTTGAATTTTTTTAAAATACATACGTCTGAAATCAATGAGATTTTCGATAAAAAAAACAATAATGAATGACGTTTCTAAAGTTAATATGCCTGAGTTCAGATTACTATCCAACTGACAAAATGTATATATTTATTGATATGACGACGAAATGAATAATTAAGGATCATTATAGACATTGCCATTTAATCACGATAGTTATTATTACTTACTAAGTCCTTTCTAATTTTTAGCTGTTTAATACTTCTTAATTTCAAATTTACACCCTTCCCACTCGTTTCGACTATGTTTCCAAATCTAGTATGGTTCTGAAAGAATCCACGTCCACCCATCACTGCTTGAACTGCATACTGTTTTGGCTTTTAACTCTAGCAAATACTGCTACTCCAAGTGTCCAGATGCATTTCTTTCCAATTGAGATACGACAAGTGCTATCATTGCTAAGAATTGAAAACTACAACTTTCTTCGAAAGACTACATTCTCCAGTTTGCTAAACCGTAATCTCACTGCTATCAGCTCTTCCAACAGAGCATTATTTTCGCGTAAAACTCGGAGCTGAGCCAACTTGTCATGAACAACTTCTTTCAAGAGACTAGGCTTCGCCTTTTCTCACCTACGCAACCTGTCTCAGCGTTAGCCATAAGAGAACGCTATAGTGTAGAACTATATCTAGGCAGTGTGGGGCTTACGGCCGGGAGCCTGGCACCGGTGACGCATGTTTTCCTAAGTAAGTCTGTGGCTTGAAGTTTCAATTTTTGTGTCCAGAAAGCATTTAAATGAGGTCAACCAGTCAGTTGCATTTGTGACATTTATTCCACAATCATTTCAGTAGTATTCAGAGATGTAGTTAACACTTAAGAGCTTTCTCTTCCCGTATTTGAAATATGTATAATATTGTAATTAATATTTAAGAAAATAATGAGTTTTCCTAAGCAGTTGTGTTTTCGACCCTTAGTTATAAGCCAATGAAAAGGAAAGGTTGTACCTTAAATTCCGGTAAACTTTTAAATGTTTACGGATTTAGATGTCAGTCATCGTTCATTAGATGGCTGCTCTAGATAGCGGTCATCATTGATTTTAAAGGCTTTAAAAAAAATTTCTAACTGTTACGTAATAATAGAAGTTTTGCCTTTCTGTCTATGACAGTTCCCGAGAGCATGCTGGACTTTACTTCCACCCTAAAGTTCACATCAGTTTTCTGCTTAAAAAAAAAGGCGGAGGCAAATTTCTTGGTTCACATGAAATTTACATTATCTACACTGGGAAAGCGCTGAATTGTTCTATAAACAGCTTCGAACTACTCTGAGTTTCCTTTTCTAAAACTTATATTAAAGGCCTAGAAAAAGCAAAATTTCCTGAATACTTATCAAATCGTGCTATTTATAACTTAGACGACTTTAAATGTCTTAAATTAGCGAGATGCTTAAGCCAAATGTGAAATGCACTTTCCACGATCCTCATTTTCAGCACTGCGTGGATCACGAGCGGCCAGCCTGTAAAGTGGCTGAACACTGGTAGTTACATCCGGAGTTCGAAATCCGTGAAATCTGTGGTTCTCCCCATGAATAACATGTTTTTCTTAACGGCCGAAAGTTTTATTTAATAGCCATTAGCCTTGCGCTACTACAAGGGCTGGAAGCACCTAATAGGTGCCCACCGTTACCTACTATGAAGGGACAGATAGCCACGTCCCAACCATGTCTTCTCCGGGATTTGATCCCGAGCCCAATGCTACGGCAGTCAGTGTCACGAACCACTATACCAGCTGGGCGGTTATGTATAACATGTATAAGAGCCAATTTCCCTTAGAAAGTCCTCCCGTTAGGTAAATAGCCGTCGAGTGCTTTGCCATAAGCAAATAAACCAAACCAAACCATCCATCAGAAATGCGTAGTGCGTTTGCAGTACTTGTGTTGACACAAATTGCAATAATACTTGCGAAAACCATTTAAATTTATTGGAAATCAAACTTTCAGAAGGGTTTATTGTTGTTGTTGTTGTTGTCGTGTCCATATTACACGGAACAATGGTTGCCATGAAGAAAGAAGGAACTCCGAAGAGAAGTTGGACTTTTTCTACCCCTAATTTTGAGGAAGAGCACCCCGGGGGGGTATCCGGAGTCTCCCACCCCTCTCCCCTTCCACCAATCCCCACGAGAGGACTTTCGGCTCACCGTATATTTAGAGTGCCGCCATGCCGCACAGACACTATACATTTACAAACATCCTCCGGGATTCCTCTGTCTTCTCCGGGATTCGAACCCGGGCTCTTCGGTATCGTAGTAGGCTCTTCTAACCACTAGTGGTTAACTCCCGCTGGGTTGGTAACCAATTCTGCATGGATATATCAAGTATACCTGAGTCGGAACCCAACTCAGCAGTTTACCTCCCCTAACCACTATACCGTATGGGTGACGTTTCTTGTATTTACAAGAAAGAAATGTAAAAATATGAAAGTATTTTAATTATCAGAATTATGAATACATATCAATTGCTACAGACGCACAATTAGCAAAGAGACAATAAACAAACATTTTACAAGTTTGATACTTTGTACTTTAGGGTAAACTATGTAAATTTTAATTTACATTAAAAAATAAGAAATAGCATTACCTTTCGAGGTTTTCAATCCATTGAATAAGAGCTACAGTTGTATTCACTTCCCATTTGGAAGCTAGTAGGTCTTTTTTTACCTGTTCTTTGTCCCAGATTTCACCAAAATTGTTTTTAACTGCAGCCAAAAATACTACAGGAACATTTTTGATTCCCAGAAGACGAGATAAATAAAATGACAAAATTTCGCCTAAAAAAATTAAAATTTACTTTAGTTGTATTATTTTTAAATAGGCGTTATTAATTCAGACAAATGTGAGATGGTTTAAAAGCTATAAAATATAACAACAGACAAAATACGTAAATAAATGTAAGACATATAATTGCTTTTATTCATAGGTAGGAGATATACATTCTAAAAATAAAATACCCCACAGCTAAATTAACTGCATGAATTAGAACATGTCTGGGCGGACGACTAAAATGTGTAACATATAGAATTTGAGAAATTTTTATTTGTATTTTAGAATAGTTTTTAGCATCATTAATTACACACAATAATTTTATTGCAGGAAAAAAAGGCAACATTCGTGAGACTGTCATGGAGTAAGTAGTGAAAAATCCGTTAAACTCTCACTGCCTCAGATTTATGCTAACAATTTCGTAAAAATTTCGTAGCCGAGGATTCACACTGACATTTCGGGAAAGGGATTCACCAAAAATAAAACGATTACATAAGTAACTAGCATATACCTAACTTTAAAGTCGTATTAAATATTTTTAAATTCAAATTGACATTTATAAGCCAATCAGATTCTGGAAATATATTCAACACCGTTCTTTTATATCAAGACTACAATTTAATTGGCGGTGATTTTATTACATTTTATTATAAAAATCTTCAAACTACTTAAATGAAATGAAAAAAATATACAAATATTAATAGACCATATATTAAATATAGACAAATATTAAATATAGACCATATATTTTTGTGAACATAAAATAAGAAAATTAATTTCGTAATTATATATGTTTAGGGAAGGCTTTTAAAACTTTTCAGATATAAAAATTTCAAAATTATCCATTAGCATTACAAAATCGCGAAAAATTTCAAAATATTATAATGTAATTAAATTTTCATTTGAAACATCATTTGAAATAATATACTATTATTATCGAAACTTCCAATGTACTTATTTTGTACAAACTAGAACACCCCACAGCTTAATACAAACCTATCCATCTTATGAGCAAATCCACAATAACGAATTAGTGAATGAATTTTCACCAATGGTTAAGAGACGCTCGTTCCTTGTATTATACATACATGTACTTTCTTTCCCTAAACAGTACATTTAAAAAAGATCGTTCGACATTGAAATTATCAATCGATGACTGGCAACGAAGAGTGATTTTTTATAACACTGGGAAAAGACTGGGTACTCTTAAGTCCAGTGAAACTTAGGATAAATCAATCTCCTAGTTTGGATTTTGGAATAGTTTTTTTTTTCCTCGGGATTTTGGAGGAAACTCTAACGGAAAGTAGCATAAAAATTATATAGATATAATAAATCGATTGCTACAAACATTAAAACTAAATAGGAAAATAGGAAAAAATCTGAAATTCGCCGAATACTGGAAAATTGCTCAGAATTAGCACCGAGTTAAATTTACTGCTCTAATTACACGGCGTGTTTCAAAAACTTCAATCGTTGCCATTTCTTTTCAACCACTGACGTTGAACTTACTACAAATATACTATAGATTGGGAGAGGGGATTATGTTATGACAGATTGGTCAGCATAGAAGTTATTTGTATAAAAGCGTTGAACTTAAAAATCTTTTTGAAGCACCGTATGATGGTACCCATGCTGATGGGCTTCGTTTCGAATCCCTGATAAGGCACGAAACATTCGCGATATCTCAGCTCCACCAGCGTTTTAGATGTAACATTCATCTGTCCTTTGTTGTGCACCCTAATAGCGTTCCAGGTGCTGAAACGGTGAAGAGACTGCATAGTACGCATTGATAAAAAAAAAAAAAAAATCTTAATTTGTACCACTATTCTCTGTTTTCCACGGAAAAGAAATTTCAGAAAAAATTAAGTAAAAACTTTGAGTGAAGTGAAGTTTGAGACATTCTGTCGGCAACAGAAGTCGCATTCATCATCATGAAGTTGACAACGCCCCACGATATGGTGAACGGAGGCAGTGCAGAATACATAATTTAGCTAAAGCGAGTACCAAGGGTACCTAGGACGACTGCATATTTTGCATCCAGTAAAGTTAAGTTCATTGGAGCGGACGAGCCATTTCAGGCGTTGAAGAAAATATGAGCCGCATTTAAAATTAGCGTAGTTGCTTCTTTGGCCTACTTCTTTACACGCCAGTAATGAACAAAAAACTTAGCTTGCGACTAAAAATATGCACACTGGAGTTATACTGAATGCGAAGTACAAATTAACAACCTTAGCATAAATCTCGGCTCGTTTCTGATTAAGCGCTCGAGAAAAGATCAAGACTAGTAGAAACATATATCGGCTAGTTAAATTGCAATAACAAGAAAATTAAGTGAACGTAACCGCCAGCCAATGCTGCCAAACGCTGTCTGAAAAACTTAGCAACTCGAAGCATATGTTATAACTTACTGAAATTTGTATTCTGATGGAAGCTGACGAAATCCGACAATGAATAGCTACTAATTGTGATAATTCTGTGTCGATGACTATCTGCTAATCCTAAAGATATCAGCCGAGAATTATCATATACATATGATAGAATTCGTACCACTTTTTGTTCCATGATGTGAAAACCCGTAGGAATTTGTCAAGTACTTTATGTAATGTAGTTGCTTTGCGGCTATTACTGTTAACGGATTTTTGTTGCTCCGTCAGGATAAACAATTCCCGTAAAAAACATTTGCCAATGTAAAACCGCGTTGGTTACTGAATACTTCTGTGTTATCTCATTAATATTTGGGCTGTAGTAAGTATAAGGAGTAGAAGCCATGTGGCTAATCGTATAACATATTCATTATTTCACAAAAACACATATGTTAGCGGTCGACCAAGCCTATGTCTCTGCGTCACATTACTCATGCAACAGTGATTGTCACATGGCACGTATGCAATCTGCCAGGCATGTGCATCATCACACGACGAACTCTAAGTCGCATACATATTATGCTTGCCGTATATCGTGGCTAAAAATATTATGGATGCGCGTATCGCTTCCTGCGCTGTTTTGGAGAATGCGGGCGAATGAGAAACGTCACACCTTTCACCTGTTATTCTTTTAACATGCTTGATCACCTCTAAAATTTCGAGCCCACCAGCGGCCGAGCGGTAAAGTCGCTGAACACTGGTAGTTCGGTCCAAGGTTCGAATCCCGCGAACGGGCTGGCTGCGTGGGTGTTTTCGTGGTTTTCCCCATGTGTAACGTGTATACGAGCCAGCTTCCCTTAGAAAGTCCTCCACGAAGGCATCCCTCCCCTTTAGGCAGATAGCCCTAGTGTGCTTTGCCATAATTAAATACACCACCTCTGAAATTTCGTGGCGAATGTTCTATGGAAACACGATAGCTTTCTTGTGAGGGAAAAACGATTTGAAATTCTTGCTCATCAGTAGAATTTTTATCCAAAATAAAATCAACGGATTGAGATCTCAGTTTTCTTCTTAAATTTGATAAAAAGCATACCAATGTTGTTTTTAATAATATCTTGTTTACCTTGCACTAAATACTGGTGTGGAAATCGATACCGTGCACAGGCCTTTGAACCATCTTCGAATACTACAAACTGATTCTTTGGTCTGCCGCAACGATTCCACGTTGGCGGTTCGACTCTTTGGACCTTTAACTTCCGCAACTTTTGCAAAGCATTTTGGACATCGAGGTCTTCTGCTCCTGGAAAACAATAAAAATGTACTTTATTTTTAGACACTGTTAAATATCTAAAATGTTAAAACACGTACACTGCGGAAAAAAAGACACTTCTATATCTCCCGTTCTACTGGGCCGATTGACGAACTTCAACTTGCGTTTTTCATCTTTCGAAAGCGTGACTTAGGATATGTATTAGATTTATATATACCGTCGTTCTATTATAGGTATTTTGACACAAAATCGGGCTTTTTCTCAAATAACATACCATTTTTTTCCATATTTCAATTCTACGACTCAAATTAGGCCAAACTACCAAGTTTTGTAAAAATCGCACGAATAGTTTTTAAAAGATTAGCTCTCAAAATTTTACCTCCTCAATGTTAATTGAGTATGGTACATATTTATTAATCTCTCTTTTTTTTATTAAAATTATTTGATTCTTCCCTTCACATTTCGAAATTTAGGTTCATTCCAAATAAAATTCACCCATTGTTTATGATTCATTTTTAAAAATTTGTATTTTTAAATAATTTTTATAAATTTTTTCAAAAACATTTTTGAATTATAATCTATAAAAATTTTACCATCATCTTAAAGTAGGAGTATTTATGAGCATACCTGCAAAAAAGTGACAGTTTTTTATTCAAAATTTCCGAAGATATACGTGAATTTATATATTGGCGCGTTTTGAAATTTGGCATATTTGTTGAAAGCGATAAAACATCGAATGTGGTTCAGACACTTTGCTAATATTATTTGAAACTAGAAACGATGTGACTTTTTTTCCGCTCATGCAGAGTGTAAAAAGGTAGGAACGAATTGCCTTTTTTTTCCGCTCCGGCATAATGGAAGGGAAAGGAAAATTAGTTGCCACATTAATTAAGACACAATAACACGCCGAATAAATACTAATCCAGAAGTCAAACAACAAAAATCAGCGTTATACCTACAAAATTTTCACAGGACTAGTTTCGATGGTTTTACTGAACCATCATCTTCAGCTGCAAAACCGCAAATGAACAAGATAGGAAATAATGATTAGATAAGATAAGAAAGCCTGGACAAGAATAAGCAAGTCGCGCCATCTGTTGGCGAAACCAGAACTAAAACATAATTTCTCTAAAAGCCGAAGGCAAATTTGGATTGGAATTAGGATCGTTAACTAGAACAGAAAGATTTTTATGAATGTGAAATGCCTCTAGAAATCCAGTTCTCCAATGGAAGATGTTTTTTGAATAATTTTGGCCAGCAGAAAAATTGAAAGTGTGATTTTCGGACCAACAATGTTGAGCAACAGAAGACCTCTGTGTTTCCTTTTTTCTAACATATGCCTCATGTTCTTTGACGCGAAATTTTAAGGCTCTCTCTTACTTTGGCCAATGTAAATTAAACCACACTGGCAAGGAATCCTATAAAATACCCCAGGAATTCATATCCGGAATGGGGTCCTTGAGTATAGAAGTTGGAATTTTATTGATGGGAGAAAAAAACAACCGAAAGTTAAATTTCTGCAAAATATGTGCAACTTTATAGCTAATTGATGGAAAGAAGGGAATGACAACAGAATTTTTATAATCTCCTAAAATAAGAGTGTGGCTTTTAGTGTGTTGAGATGAGAATTTTTTAACTGCTTGATTAATAATGTTGGGTGAAAAGCCCCTGTCAATAGCTATTGCTTTTAAATAATTTAGTTCTTCATCAAGGGCTAGTTTGGAGGAGCAAACTTGAAGAGCACAAAGTTGCACATATTTTGCAGAAATTTAACTTTCGGGTTGTTTTTTCTCCCATCAATAAAATTCCAACTTTTATACTCAAGGACCCCATTCCGGATATGAATTCCTGGGGTATTTATAGGATTCCTTGCCAGTGTGGTTTAATTTACATTGGCCAAATTAAGAGAGCCTTAAAATTTCGCGTCAAAGAACATGAGGCATATGTTAGAAAAAAGGAAACACAGAGGTCTTCTGTTTGCTCAACATTGTTGGTCTCGAAAATCACACTTTCAATTTTTCTGCTGCCAAAATTATTCAAAAAACATCTTCCATTGGAGAACTGGATTTTCTAGAGGCATTTCACATTCATAAAAATCTTTCTGTTCTAGTTAACGATCCTAATTCCAATCCAAATTTGCCTTCGGCTTTTAGAGAAATTATGTTTTAGTTCTGGTTTCGCCAACAGATGGCGCCACTTGCTTATTCTTGTCCAGTGCTCTTCAAGTTTGCTCCTCCAAACTAGCCCTTGATGAAGAACTAAATTATTTAAAAGCAATAGCTATTGACAGGGGCTTTTCACCCAACATTATTAATCAAGCAGTTAAAAAATTCTCATCTCAACACACTAAAAGCCACACTCTTATTTTAGGAGATTATAAAAATTCTGTTGTCATTTTCATTCCCTTTTTTCCATCAATTAGCTATAAAGTTGCACATATTTTGCAGAAATTTAACTTTCGGCTCCGGTTTGTTTTTTCTCCCATCAATAAAATTCCAACTTCTATACTCAAGGACCCCATTCCGGATATGAATTCCTGGGGTATTTATAGGATTCCTTGCCAGTGTGGTTTAATTTACATTGGCCAAAAACTAAGAGAGCCTTAAAAATTTCGCGTCAAAGAACATGAGGCATATGTTAGAAAAAGGAAACACAGAAGTCTTCTGTTGCTCAACATTGTTGGTCCGAAAATCACACTTTCAATTTTTCTGCTGCCAAAATTATTCAAAAAACATCTTCCATTGAAGAACTGGATTTTCTAGAGGCATTTCACATTCATAAAAATCTTTCTGTTCTAGTTAACGATCCTAATTCCAATCCAAATTTGCCTTCGGCTTTTAGAGAAATTATGTTTTAGTTCTGGTTTCGCCAACAGATGGCGCCACTTGCTTATTCTTGTCCAGGCTTTCTTATCTTATCTAATCATTATTTCCTATCTTGTTCATTTGCGGTTTTGCAGCTGAAGATGATGGTTCGGTAAAACCATCGAAACTAGTCCTGTGAAAATTTTGTAGGATAACGCTGATTTTAGTTGCCACATATTAAGAAGTTCGCCAAGGGAATTACTCTTGGCGCAAACTGAAAAAATTCGCCAAGATAAATTTTTGAATTTCTCCGTAAATTTCGCACCAAATTTTACAAAATTTAATATCTAGATATAATTTGAGTCGTACAATCGAAATATGGAAAAAAATTGGTATGTTATTTCAGAAAAAGTCCGATTTTTGTGTCAAAATACCTGTGTTAGAACAATGCTATACATAAATCTAATATATATCCTAAGTCGCGCTTTCCAGACATGAAAAACGCCATTTGAATTTTGTCAATCGGCCCAGTAGAATGGAAGATATAGAACTGTCCCCCCTTTTTTATTTATTTTTTTGGCGCAGTGTACATGTGAAGATACAGAACTCTTTCTTATTGTTATTTTGTAAATATTTTGAAATCAAAAAGAAATTTTCTTCATGAGAAATTGAATTCATATAAAATGAAATATGCCTTACGATGCGAAGTAAAATTGTTAAATAAGTACATTGTTACGTACACAGGATTATTTTTTAATAATAACGTCAGATGAGAAAGAAATCGACACTTCACTGAAATAAATAACAGCTTTATAGCAAAGTATACGCTATAAATAGCCTTAAGGAGAACAACAGGAGATAAAACAAATTTTCCGAAACACGCGAAGTATATCGTAGAATACTAATTTCGCTCACAGAGTAAATTTTAAAACAGCAGTTACCCTCGCAACAGCTCGATATAATCGCACAATGAGTTGACTACTGAAACGCGGCCCTGTTTATAGGAGCTACTTAGAATTTTCCGAATTTTCGCGAAAAATCATTCCTAGAGCTATGAGAACACAGTTCTGATAATTTTCAACAGATTTAACATGCATTTTGATTCAAAATTAATATTGGGAGTGGAGAAAAAAAAAAAGAATATAACTTTTTAATCATCAGTTTAAACTGCTTATCTCCAGAAAATTCTGTTAAAATTATTATGCAAAGAAAAGCACAGATATACGTAATGTATATTTTAAGTACTTCCTCTACATGTGAATTTTAATTTCGTCAAGTAGACTGTTTTTTATATTTTTGTTTGTAATGCTCCAAAAGAGACTCATCTAAGTTCTAATGTTAAATGCTTATCAAGTTTACGTCTGTACGTATTCCTTCAATCTCGATAACTCGGGAAAGGAAGTCAGAGGCACTTTGTATTTAGATTACAGCTAGCTGTATTAATCCAGACATCCACATTAATCCAAACATCTTAAAGCAACCCAAGCGAAAGTGTCGTATTAGAACATTGAACAGTTAATTTCAGATGATAATAATTATCTGCTTCCTGATCTTTTAATTAAGGTTTCGGTTTTTTATGGATGACAAAGCATGCGCAGATTACATGCCTCAGCAGGATTGCCTTTGAAAGATATCGAAGAGAGTTTTCTGAAAGGGAATAGATCGTAATCGTATTCACCTGAATTGAAAAAAAAAAGGGTCACGAAAGTTGATTTAACCAGTCCATTCAGTTAATGCGAAATGAATCCGAGAACAACTACAAGTGGTGAATGCAAGACAATAAACATTGGTAACTAACTAGGAAGGTATCTAACAGAACAATGTATTGCATGACCACATGGGATTTCTCCATGTGTTATGTAAATATAAGACAGAGTCTTATAGAAAGACCTCCACGAAGGCATTCCTCTCCCCTCGTACGCTTCTCTATAATCAATTAACTAAACAATCAAACTTTCTTGCCAGCAACCAAATTAACTTTCAAAACACACCAATCAAATTTTACATGCGTTGTTCCAAACGTCATGTAGAGAATTTCATTCATATAACAACAACAATAATAAATAAATAAATAAATTAGGTTAGGTTATGTAATTACGGCAAAGCCTCGAGGGCTATCTGCCTAAGAGGAGGGATGCCTTCGTGGAGGACTTTCTAAGGGAACTGGCTCGTATACACGTTACACATGGGGAAAACCACGAAAACACCCATGCAGCCAGCCCGTTCGCGGGATTCGAACCTCGGACCGAACTACCAGTGTTCAGCGACTTTACCGCTCGGCCGCTGGTGGGCTAAATAAATAAATAAAAAATCTGAAAAGGTTTCAGATTTTAAATTACGTCCAAAGGGGCGTTTTTTAACGTTTTTGTGTGTTATCTTTATTTATTAAATATCATGTTCTTTGCACTTAAACCACAAAATTCAGTTCAACAGCAATGTTGCAAAATATATCTTTAGAATTTCCCATACATAGTTCCGCGCGCTGGAGATAATTTGTTTTTTTTTTTTTTTTTTTTTTTTTTTCCGTAGAGTGTTGCTATTGCTCGCTTTGAAATCATTGAGTTTGTTAATCAAAAATTCGTTAAAGTTATACAAAATATGAAATCGATCATAAAACAAATTCCAAATTCCAAATTTGGGCTTTCAGATGCAAATATTCGCAGGAGGATTACGTCATTCATAATCGGATGGCTCTGCCGTTGTTTTATCACAATGCGAGAAACATACATACATTTATGCAGATTCTTCATTCTTTAATTTTTTTCAAATATAATACAGAGATAATATTTGGTGGCAACAGTTTGAAAACTGAATCGGACATTTATAAGTGAACCAACGCAAAATGCGAAAACGAAAATAATAGTCCTTCAAGGGCAAATTGCACCTTGGGACTAATATTGGCATCAAATAGAAAAAGAAACCTCCATATCGACAGGAACTAAGCAAATAAATAAAGAATAGCTTGTATAAACATTTTATATTACATAGAAAAAACAGATTAACTAGTTCAATAATATAATCCTTTATTGACAGTGTTGAAAAAATAAACATGATTATTTACTGATAACGCTGCAATGATAAATCAAGGCATATTGTGGTAAATTATTAACATTATGATAATTAATAAATTTAGTAAATCAGTAATTATAAATTATAATTTGTAATTTTAGTATTAATTAATTATTAGACGTAATGTTAGATTAGTAAAAATTACAAATGTAAGATTACGAACAAAAATGACTTAAAAACACATTTACATACGATCAGCATATTTATTATCATTTCCTGAGAATCCCAATTAGAAACGCTGGTTATCAATGCAAAAACTTTCCATAAAAAAAAAAAAAAAAAAAAAAAAAAAAAAAAAAAGATGGACTTCTTTAAAAGCTTCTTATTTTAGATATTGTTTTCTATTTTTAGTTTATTTATTTATTTATTTATTTATTTCATATAACACCGCACTGAGCTCTTACTATGTTCCAACTCTTCCGAACAGAATCACCACTAGTACACAATCAACTTTTGTTAGACCCCTAACAGATGAGTTTATGAGGTAATAGATATTACAAAGCCGTATATGAAACAAGTCTTCCTTCTAAGATTTCAAACGCAGGTGTTCCACGAGTAAAATAAAAAGTAGTGTTGTCAGGTCAATATTTCCTTCAGGGTACTTGTAATGATACGCGGCAGATTTTTATGTACTTTGTTTATCTTCGTTAGAAGTGTACTCAACGAAGTTGGAAATTCAAGTTTAAGCTGGCAGATCACATCTCTCAAGAGACCGGAAGTGAAACGAAACGTAAGGAATACTGATAAGGGTAGTTCGAAAAACTGTTTAGGATTCTTGCATTTTTCGTAGGAAACTGAGAATGAAAAAGCAGCATTTTTTCTCTTTTATTCTACATGTGAATTTTTACGATGGACACCAAAATTATTAAGTGAGGAAATTTTTACCCTATTTTTAAGATAGTTATTTGATGCACTATATACAATGCACTTAAAACGAACCCCCTCGAAATAACGTTAACATATATATATACATATATGTAACATTTTAATTGCGTGGATGACACCGGTACTTTTTAACTTTCGATAGTCGTCATGGCTGAGGGTCAAAACATACAGACGAAGCTAACGAAACTGGATTTTGATGAATCACCAATCTTTATTTTCATACATATCAAATTATTTTGGTAGACATTTATCCAATCATAGTTAAATACGATAATTTTTATGTACACTGGCTTTAAAAATACGACGCAAGCTTCCTAGACAGGAAAGCATAAGTAGCGCGGAGATGTTGGCGTCGCAGAAGTTAAGAAAAGAAGTGACGTAGTTGACTTGCGAAGCAGTATTTATACTAAGTAGGTGCGTAAGTATAATTAAGTCGCAATTGGTTAATTTTAAGTTGTTATGTAGCGTGGAAAGATCTCGAATTTGGGAGAACAGATGAATTTAGGGGAAGAACAAACACCAGGTTTAGAATAGTGAATTTTAAGGTTGCCAGTCATTTCTTAGCTTAGACATCGTCATAGAATACCTTGTTATTTCATGTAATAATTGATCAAGTGTATAATAAATTCTAATTCCTCACATGAATTTTGTATAACCCAACTGCGCGAATCAAGAGGGGAAAATGATCCATTTCCAGGAAAAAATGAATTACCTATATCTATTTTAACTGTTATCATGAAAATTTACTGATAACGCTGCATTTATTCCTTACGTTATTCCTTACGTTTCGTTTCACTTCCGGTCTCTTGAGAGATGTGATCTGCCAGCTTAAACTTGAATTTCCAACTTCGTTGAGTACACTTCTAACGAAGATAAACAAAGTACATAAAAATCTGCCGCGTATCATTACAAGTACCCTGAAGGAAATATTGACCTGACAACACTACTTTTTATTTTACTCGTGGAACACCTGCGTTTGAAATCTTAGAAGGAAGACTTGTTTCATATACGGCTTTGTAATATCTATTACCTCATAAACTCATCTGTTAGGGGTCTAACAAAAGTTGATTGTGTACTAGTGGTGATTCTGTTCGGAAGAGTTGGAACATAGTAAGAGCTCAGTGCGGTGTTATATGAAATAAATAAATAAATAAATAAATAAACTAAAAATAGAAAACAATATCTAAAATAAGAAGCTTTTAAAGAAGTCCATCCTTTTTTTTTTTTTTTTTATGGAAAGTTTTTGCATTGATACCAGCGTTTCTAATTGGGATTCTCAGGAAATGATAATAAATATGCTGATCATATGTAAATGTGTTTTTAAGTCATTTTTGTTCGTAATCTTACATTTGTAATTTTACTAATCTAACATTACGTCTAATAATTAATTAATACTAAAATTACAAATTATAATTTATAATTACTGATTTACTAAATTTATTAATTATCATAATGTTAATAATTTACCACAATATGCCTTGATTTATCATTGCAGCGTTATCAGTAAATAATGCGTTATCAGTAATGATTTTTCCAATCAAGAACAAGAAACAGCCGCATAAAACAGCAATATTCCTGATTCCAGTTTAACACCTGTAAACAAAAACTAATTAAGATCGAAGAACTGCCGGATATACAGCAATCGTTCCGGTCGGTTGCTCAGCTCAAAGTTTAACTACCGGTAGGGGCTTATACAACACGTTTGCACAAAACGCAGTTTGTCAATAAAAAATGTATTTGTTTTAGAAATAATGATCTATGGAATTCCGAGTACCATTTTAGTTATCTTAGCCGTAATAAATTATTTTATTGTGTCTTTTTATAAATAACATTTTGCATGTTGTTTAATTGAATTAAACCTTTAACTGTCTGTCATTGGTTAATTTATAGAACTAGCTAAAGTGTGGAATTATTGCTAAGGTGTATTTTAATTTTATAAGTTATTTTAATTTTGAAACCTTTTCCTTTCAGTTCTTGTTTCACACTTACAACTCCCTACCAGAATAAGTTTTTAGAATTGCGTTGAATGCAAACGAGTTAGAAAAAGTATTTAAAGGAAGTTCAACTTACTTCGAGAAGAGTAACAGAGAGGCACCAACTCGTCCTACAGAAGCTAACATTTACGCCTTAAATCAAAAATAATGGATGAACTAAGAAAAGTTAAGTTACTCTAATGGCTGCACAGTTGGAATAACGCGCAAGCTGGCTGTGACCTAGGTCGGCGTAACAAAGTCTAATGGCGAAAATAACTGAAAGTCGCAGAATACTATTCGCAAGGGAATCAATTTAGCAACGTGGTCTTCAAACAGGCAAAACACGCTCTGGTTTTACCCCTTCTAAACCTTCTTTTAAATAGTTCTTTATTTCTAACGCAATGACGCGTAGAAATTTACATTCTGGCAGGAAACTGGAGATGAGAGAGATAGGAAAGTAAATTAACATAAAATAAATGGTTAGAAACTTAGACGTGAACTCTGAAAGCTATATTCAGAATTGAGTACAAAATAATAAATTACTATTACCAGAGATAATGACGGAATTGCAGTAATGTGTGAAATATTGCATTTTGCTCTAAGGATATTCCTTTTTTTTTTTTTTTTTTTTTTTTTTTTTCTTACCTTTAGGAGTCTTTTCCTCCAATTCTTTTGACCAGTAAATAGTATCTTCAACAATTGGCACACCTTCTATGTTGATAAGTGTTATATTTCTAAATTTGTGTCTCATCCTTTTGCGTAAGTTTAGAGAACCGGGTGATATATACATAAACGTTCTTTTAGGACTAGAATAATTGAACTTTATACTGTTTTTATACTTTTCAAACATCTGTTGCACAGTGCCGAAGTTTGGTAGCTTATGTGCTGATACATGAAGATTAGTCTCATTGTAATCAAAATCGCCTTGCTCAAAGTTTCTGTTATACAATGCATTGTCGTCATAATCAACACTGTCACCATCCTCGTATAAATCATTGCCTTCAGGTTCATTGTAATCATCGTTATCTTCATCATTATCCTCATCATCAGAATCCGCAGCTTCATCGGAGGTTTCCACCACACGCGTCCTGAACCAAGCATCTTTGTAGATATTAAGCCTAGCAGCAGAAAAGAGGTAATTGGAAGGACTGGAGATCACAGCTCTTTCATCCAAAGCTTGCACAACTCGAGTTCTTTTGACGTACGGTTGCCACTGCTGCACAGATACTGACACTTGAATGCATTTTTGAGGTGTTGTGATGAAAAGTAAGAAGGCTGCCAGGATCACGAAGGTTACAGTCGCAACAATAACTCGTAGAATATGAATCTGAAATAAAGAATAAATAATCATGTTATTTTTCAATGTTTACGAAATCATTTTTAATCTACTAATGTACAATTAATGTAATTTATAATTTAGAAGTGAAATCTTTTTAACCCTTAATCACGACAGTGCAGTATCATAACTAAACATGGATAACTAAGCTCCTCGTTTGGATGACATCTTCAATTCAATTCTTCAATTAAATATAACAAACTAACTGATTCTAAATTTATGCCATTTCATGGCAAAATTAATTCAGAGCCGGTGCAGAGCATTTTGCCGCCCGATGCAATCTCTACGGTTTTTAAATTCTGCTTCCATAATGTTCAATGCATTTATAAAAATCTACCGTTCAGTATGACAGCTCCGACTACACCGGCTTTAACCCTTTGGCCTATAACCACGAGTCTGACTCGTGGTAAAGAATTTGTGTCATAACTAAAAGCCACGAGTCTGATTCATGGTAAAGAATTTGTGTCATAAAAAAAGCCACGAGTCTGATTCGTGGTGAGGAATTTGTGCATAAAATGCCGCGTATTATTATTAGAACAAGCGATTGGAGTTATTCTACATCGAATATTTTTCCCTTGATTGTAACGTCAGGATTTTTTTTTTTTTTTTTTTTTTTTTTTTTTTTTTTCAGTTGTTTCTGACGAAACTGGATGATCTGTTACTTTAGTTCCCCGTAAAGCTTCGTTACGTTCACACGTTTCAAATAAAATTTCGCATAAAGAATTAAAAAACTCTTATACCCATCATGCCAAACTCTTATACGCATCATACCCATCACGCAATTATTTTTGTCAACTGATCAATTGATTATGATTACACCCTAGACGTCTTAATTACTATTTGTACCTAACCATTATTATTTCACAATTCATTTCGTTACACTGAAATATATATGTCACAAAAAAGTATACATTTTGCATACATGAAAAGTATACATTTTGCGCCAGTTCGGGTACACGGCTGGCTGAACAGATGAATGGCACGACGCGCGACCGACTTTCTTGTTTACTATAGCTCGCGCAATTGGCCCATATCGTGTAGACCAAGGGGTTAACCCCGGCCCTGTCTGTAATTATTATAGTAGTGAGTAATTAGGAAAGATTACATAATTAGGAAGGATTAGATATTTGAAGTAATAAATTATCAGAAACTCCTAAACGCAGCTAGTTAAGCGCATCGGTATCCCTCTGTATAACAAAGAATACAATTCCCCCCCCCCTCTTTTTCTTTCGCTTCTTCCCACATACTAAAGTAAAGGGCTGACGAGAGCTTTGCTATCTTTTATTGCATTAAGATGCCTTTTGCTGCGAAATATTTAAAATATTCCGGAAAATATGGGTAATTGCAAGGGATGTTATAATGCAAATTTGCTCATCAAAATTTTAACGGGGTCAGAAATATGGGAAATCTGGAAGAAAAATCGTCCTAATCGAATCAAAGACAGAAAAAAAAATAAATAAATAAAACTATGTGTCCTAATAAGAATAAGGTAAGGTTTCAACAATTCCAACAACTAAACAACAAGCCAACAACTATTTAAATTTCATTAGAAAGAATGGATGTACAATTAATTGAAACATGATATAATTAGAGAGAATTAGTTTATTTTTCAATCGAAATTTTTTATGTGGGTTCCATATCGCATCAGACTGAAAAATGTATGACTGTGAATCTTATTTTTTGCATTGTTATTACAGAAGGATTACAGTGGTATCGTCCTCTCTGTTGTTCGATACATTACTCTCAACCTAATTTAACTGGCATCTGGTACTTCCGCTAGTATATTATTAAAAGTGAAGGCTTTGAAGGCAATTATTTACCATTAAAGTAGTGTGCTATCATACACATCAGTTAAAGCAACTTCTTCAGTTAGTTCACGAGTCATCTGATCTTTTTTATTTTCCTGCTTAGATCTTCCTCCAAGTGACTTTTTAACTCCTTGTAGGAATTCCCCTCCCCAATGGACTTGCTTATAACGGCATTGGAAATTCCTAAGGTCCGAAGTCGATGGCTAGAGTTTTGTCAGAACCAGACTGCTGACCGGATTCAGGATGAGTAGGACCAGATTTAAATAGACTATATAAGACTTCATTTATGAAATTTAAACATCATTTTACCATCTTGAAGCATATGATAGTAAGCAACGCTAATACACTGACAAGTCACTACGCTCGAGTGAGAAGACATAAACGTTTGCACCAATAAAGTAATTTTGCGGCATATGAGTACTAAATATCCAACACACAGAAAATTTTCTTACAGACATTTGTGGTAAAGGAAGAGGAATATGAGATCTTCAGATTCCATTCTCGATATATTCTCGGTAAAAACTTGTGTTTAACTGGGCTTGTTGAGTCAAACTTGTAGCTTAAGTTCTCAAGCCAGGTCGCCCAGTCGGTATAGTGGTCAGGGAAGCTGACTGCGATGCCGAAGGGCCTGGGTTCGAATCCCGAAGAAGGCATGGTTGTAACTGTCTGTCCCTTCATAGGAAAGGCGACGGTGGCCCACCTATTAGGTGCCTCCATAATAAAGAGACCACCACATCCGGCCTTGTATAGATTAATGGACTGGGTTACACTTACAATTATTCACAATCTGCCATTGGATTTAAAAAAAAAAAAAAAAGTTTTCAAGCCAGTGACAATGGTCATTAGTCAGTTGGGATGAAGCTGGATATTAATTCCGTCACCACTCTGGTCAAAGCGCATGGTCTGGACCATACCCATCATTACTCATAAAAGCGTTTTGGAGATTGTGTGAGTGCATATGGGGTTAAGACAACAACAAATACTTCTTTATGATATAATGTCCAATCATAAATTTTAAATAGCTCTTTATGCTATATAGTGAGTTTTTTCCTTACGGCCACCTCTCTTAGACGAACACCTCTGAAGTAGACCAGCACTTCTGCTTTAATAAACATCTGTATTGAACGCTAAGGTGACCACCTCCACAGGAGATTACATTGTCTGGAACTGGTCGGTCATTTTAGTTACACTGTACTTACGTTCATTGTACTTATGCACTTTCATAGCTTATCATTATATTGTTGAGAATGCCCATCTTTCCCATTTTTAGACGGAATCCGAAGAAGAAAAGACATGCAATTCGAACTTTTAATGATGGCATGGCATTTTCTGAAGTTTTCCCCAAGACAAGTTAGGTTACTCATGAAGCCAACCGAACCATGTCAAACTACCAGTATTCAACGGTCTTTAACCTCTCGACCACGCGTGGGGTTTTTTCCCAAAACAGAGCAGAGTGACTATGAAAATACTGGACATCGGAGGACATTATCAATGAAGCAATCATCGCAAAATCCCTAATTAACCTATAACAAGAAACAAATTAGCATTCCAAAGCTAAAACACTCAATGCTTCGAGTATCATGTACGAACAATCAATTGTTCATCTGTACCTCTCGACATTACAATCAACTCACCAAATGTAATTCAATCATATTCAATTCAAAAGTTCAGTCTTGTCAGTATGCTTTATGCTTCATCCTGACAATGTTCATGTCTTGAAACGAAGGTTTTAATCGTAAGATGACATAAAAGAAAGAAAGAAGAGGAAAAAAGAAAAGAAAAAGCACAAAGTGACGACAACTTGGAATTATTTTCTTACTTTATAAACCATCATCTTGCTTTTAGTTTAGTCCTTCGCAGACGATGCAGCCTCCGACAATAAGGAATGATGTCTGCCATATTCAGATGTCATCGTCTGCCATCACAATAATGATGAATCACCTACAAGAATAAAATAAAAAATAAGAACGCGTATCTTCTTTATAATTCTATATTGTAATTGAAAGGTAGTCAAAAGTCACTGAGCATTGTTACATGGGATGCAATTAAGATTTTATTTTTCGTTTCAATCAACGAATTAAAAAATACAATTTGCATTTGGTTGGAACTTTAAAGGTCCAGTATTCTATATTTATTTTAGGATTTAGTAAATATAGTCGACGTGAATTTTACAAGAGATGCTGCATGGGATCTTGAAGATGTTTTTATGGGATCAGAAATGCATTCAATAATTTAATAATGTACTTTCTAGAGTTCTAATTAGAGCAACAAGAATCAGCAAAATATTTATAAATTTGCAGGAGTAGCTTTCGAAAGTTTAAATCTAGAGACAGCTTCTTCAGCTGCACAAGTGCAAATGACGAAAAGAGCCAGTGCTCAAGCGATAAATATGACAGGAAGGAAGTCAAGCTACTGGCGCCACCTACTGATGATTAATGAACGAACTATTAAATAATTTCTTTAAAAACGGAGGGTAAAGACGGACTGTAATTGGGATCGACAGCTAGAACTAAAAGATTTTTATGAATGTAAAACGCCTCTAGAAAATCAAATTCGCCAACGCCAAATTACTTTGGCTGCAGAAAAATTGAAAATATGATTTTCTGACCAACAGTGCTGGGCACCAGAGAACTTAATGTATTTCGCTTTTTCTAGCATATGTCTCATGTTTCTTAGCGCGATATTTAAAGGCTTTCTTAGTTTGATCAATGTAAATTAACCCACACTGGCATGGAATCCTGTACATATCCCAAGTATTCACATCCAGAACGGAGTCCTTAAGTACGAAACCGCAAATTTCATTGACAGAAGATAAAACAACCCAAAATAAGAATTTTTGTAAAATATGTACATTTTTATAGCGATCCGATGGAAAGAAATGAATGAAAACAGAATTCTTATAATCTTCTAAAATGAAAGGTTGCTTTTTGATGTACTGAGAGGAGAATTTTTAGTTCTTGACCAACAGCCGAATTGGAGGAGCAAACTTGAAGTGTCCGGGAAATGAAGGAATAAAATGAAGTTAATTCTGTTAAGTCGAATGACACGATTTGAAGTGTTGTGGAAGGAAAGAAGTCGCGACCCACCGTCGCCACTGAGAAACGAAAAATGAATTTATTGGAGAAAGTAATATAATAAAATTAAACTAAGCGGCGAAAAAGCCCTAGTAGGCCATGGCCTGCAGTGCCCCGATACCTGCTTTCTTGACCGTGGGCCCCGGTGTACGTGAGCATATGCCCTGGGGCAAGTGGTTAGCTTGTCTCAGGACACCCATTGTTTAGGCCCCAAGCGAACTTGGTACTCATTTTATCGACCCACTCAAGGAATGAAAGGCTAAGTCAACCTTGCCCAGGCCGGGGATCGAATCCTGGATCTGTGGTGCAGCTGTGCAACGCGCTAGCCACTGCGCCACCGGGCATATAGTAACACGATAATGAAATAAAAATAATTAATTACAATATTCACAAATTCCTTCTCAATTTGTAGTTTATTTAAAATGCCGGAAGTTGTATATAATTGTCTAGCAACAGAAAGAATAATTCAAAATTTTTTGCGACCGAGTAATGACTGTAAGACAATTTTTGACGATTCGCGAAAAGTGCGGAAGGTGGTTCCCAAAGTAATGATTTGCCGATTCGCACTTTGAAAACCATTAATTCAAACATTATATTCCATAATTATATATGTAGTCCAAGAAATAATACGTGCCGTGATCACTGCATAATGGAAGTCTTCAGATATCGCATCTAATATGAGGTAAATAAGTTGCCTGAAGGACAGGATATCGATGCTTTCATCCTTTTCATTCTTTTCATTAATGCCTATTATGATAGATTGCGTACACAACAAAAGATGTAATTTCCACACAATAGTTCTCAGTAAACCTAATGTATAAAATACTGATGTGACTATTGTGAATAGAAAGGTTTGGGTACAAATAGATCCACTCCTTTGGGGCTAAGGGAAACTGGCACCAAAAGACAGAGATAATAATCGCTTTCCAACTCGTAAGATCGGAGACCTATAGTGATAACGCTTTCGTTACAAGTTGTCAGTCTTTAATTATTAACACTGTAATTTAATTAATATAAGTGCTAGATGGTTTTATAAATTCCGCTGTTGATGCTGATAATTTATCAAAGAAGATTAATAGTGTAGATCAGCAGTAGATTAAAACCAGTTCTATTCCGTACGTAATTAAAATCGTTACAGCTATTAGGGAATACATTGTTGTCGAAAGAAGTTAAATAAATCTTCTAGAAAATGTACGAAGAATATTAATTTTATGAGCGGGAGCTTAAGCGACACATCTGCTTATGTACACATTGCGTCTTCAATGTTTTGAGCTAAATTCGTAAAAAGTCGGAAATTTAAGCAAGCAACATTTTTATTTCATCTTAGGATTCCATATACAATCCCTGTAAGCAAATATACGAACGTGCAGGCATTAGGCCTGGCCATTAGTCGCTCAGTGGGCACACAGTTCGTATACTTGTTTGGTACAAGCCTTCTCAACTTTTTTTTTTACCTCATGCACTCCTTTCACCGTTACTGTAGAAGACCAATCCTCCCTCCTTCACAAAACTCGAAAATAAATCTCTACATCTATCTGGATTAAAATGATTTTTTAACGGGTCTTAAAAACAACTAAAAAAGTATGGAAAATGTTGATGAATACCAAAACTTGAATATAAGTAGTTTTTTATATTCATAAATCCAAATTAAGTCCTTAGCAATTAAACAGAAGGCTAAATGCCTTCCCCCTGTATAGAGTTGTCTGAATACCTTCAATGTTATTAAAATAAGAATTTTCGAGGTAAGATTCCATTTTAAAGAACATAAACTAGACAAGAGGTACCAAATCTGGTGAATAATTAATTGATGAAAATGGAATTTTCAATGGCGTATTGTCATGCATCAGAAACCAGTTATTCGAATGAGCTTTCTTAGACCAAATGCACTAAAGTATGGCCAGAAGTCTGTTCATTAATGCTTATAAAATATGGAATTCATCGTCTATTTTCTCCCGCCTTTCTGTAGGCCTTCGTGGTGTAACGGTATCACACTCGGCGGGTATTCAAGAGGTCCAAGTTCGAGCCCCGGCGAGGGCATTGCTCATTTTTCACGTCTCCTGCTTCAAAATAACCTGATGTCTCTACAGTGGCGCCAGAACTAAAATGTGGTGAATGATGATTCTTCACCACCACTAACTTCACCGCGACTGGGTCCCCTAACTCCCCGTCGCCCTTTAAAAGGGGTAATATATAAGGTATTTCTTCCCTTTCTTCTGCATGCCTTCGTGGTGTAATGGTCAGAACGCTCGGCGTGTATTTGGGAGGTCCGTTGTTCGAGTCCCAGCGAGGGCATCGCTCATTTTTCACATCTCACCTGCTTCGAAATAACCTAATGTGTCTACAGTGGCGTTCGAACTAAAAGGTTTTGGCGATTGGTTACCCTAATCCCCAGTCTCCCTTTAAAAGAGGGAGTATATAAGGTATTTCTACCCCTTCTTAGCAAGGCTTCGTGATGAAGTGGTCAGCACACTCGGCGCGTATTCGAGAAGTTCAGGTTCGAGTTTACACCAGTGACGTGAAGTAGTTTTCTTTATTTCTTTCCAGGAAAAGACAAACTAAATATGACGTTCTTCAATCTGAATTGTGCCTGAAAGTTGTGCACATTACTTTCGAAGTTAACGCATGGACACACGTCGTTCATCTTTATTTACATTATTAAAAGAATTCGTCGAAACGTTTTCGTTTTTTTTCTTTGTTTGTATTGTCTTATCGTTGTCTATTTTCAGATACATTGTGTAAAAATATTTGGTAATTGTAAAATTATTATAAGTTAAAGAAATATCAAAATTGCTAAAATTTTTGGCTTAGCAAACAGCAGCAAAACCGCGACCATGGACACACTATTTTGGTATCCATCCAATTTACAAACATATAAGAGTAAAGAAACTGAGATCATTGAGCCGGGTAACAGAGTGGATATATAGATATAAATATATTTATATACGTTTGGTGCGGCCGATTGCAACCAAAATACGAGGTGCACATTTACATGTTATAGCAGTCCTGTGTACAAAATTTCAACGTTCTGAGGCTACTCGTTTTTGAGTTATGCGAGATACATACATACGTTCGTACAGACGCCACGAAAAATTCTCTCCAGAATTCATTTTAAAGCAGTTTTATAACATTTTTGGAGGAAACGAATCTTTTATTCTGTCCTTACGTACAGATATCACGCAAAAACTTCGTTAAATTGCATTCGATAGCGGTTAAAATGGATATTTTCGTTGAAATATGCTGCCTGAAACTTTTCGCGATTACAATACTTCCTTTTTACTTCGTACAAGGAAGTATAACCAATATTCTTTCAAAATTCTGTATAAAGGTGAGTTATAATAAAATCATTCAGAATAAATAGTCGTTCTAAACTGAAGTACGAAAATGACGTTTGTTCTTCTAAAATGACTTCCGCTTTGGTTTTGATTTCGCCTTTGCAGCTTTTAATTCTTTCATTTATGCAAATCCAATAAACTACATTTTCCTTATTTCTATTCCGAATTCGATACTGATAACCTTTATAAAGGGCTAAAGATTTTTTTTTTCCCCTTTTGTTTCAATAATGTCTAAAACATCTATATTGATTAACATAAGATGTGAAAATAACAGCCAATATTGTAGCAAAATTATAAATTGAATAAAATTAATGATTTCGAGAGGAGCCTAAGCTTAACGAAAACTAACTTCACAAAGATACTGCTCAGCTCTTCTTAATGACTTATCGTAACATCTCCTGAGGATCTGTGGGAGGGAAACTCCGATTTCGCGGGAATTTTGAAAAACGCGGAAAGAGGAATCGCGGAAACAGAACTAATTTCGGGCGAATTTTATAGAAAATCGTTGTCGTCTAAAAAATGTGCGAATATACAA